CCCCACAAATGTTACCATGGCAAAATTGGAAGAGGCTGCCGTGTTTCCCAGCATGCTGTTGGCATTGTTGTAAACAAACAAGTTAAGGGCAAGATTCTGGCCAAGAGAGTTAACGTACGTACTGTGCATATTAAGCGCTCCAAGAGCCAAGATAGCTTCCCAAAATGTGGGAAGGAAAAGTGATGAGAAAAAGAAGCCCAAGAGAAAGAAAGGTACCTGAGTTCAACAGAAGCGCCAACCTGCTCCACCCAAAGAACATAACTTGGGGAGAACTGATGGAAAGGACCCTGAGGCACTGGAACCTGTTCGGTAAGAATTCACAGTTTAATAGGTATAAAAATAAGTAAGTCAATAAATAAAAGACCTCTGGACTGGTTTAAAAAAAAAAAAAAAGAGGTTGTACCAGAGCTGGGATTTGCAGAATAACTTGGGGTTCTGTGAGCCAACAGGGGGGTCTGTGGGTCAGGGAAAGACTCAGGTACAAATAAAGCTCCAGAATGCACCACTGAGTATAAAGTGGGGCTGCCATGAGACTGGGGCAGGAGGATGCAGATTAAAAAGGGATGTTCATGCTCCGCTCCAGAGCTTGTCAGTTCAGCAGGGGACAGGCTGGAGCTTGGACCGGGAATGGGGCATGATCTGCAAGGAGTGAAGAGGTGCTAGCCACAAAGGGAGAAAACAGACAGAATCCAACTACTTTAGAAGTAACCTTCTGTGATCAAGAGACACCCCAAGGAAATGCAAACAAGTCACAAACCGGGAATTACATCTGCAGCACGTTGAAATGACAAAGGACTGCTAGGAAGTGTATTTGACCCACTGTAGGAGTCAAGAAGAAAAAGGAAAAAAACAAATGGGCAAAGGAAACAAACAGGACTAGCACGAACAGGGAAGCACAAATGTCCCCTAAACACATGAAAAGGTGCTCAACCTCATCAGCAACAAGGGAACGAAAACATATCCTAGTTAAAGAACTGGCGCAAATGTAGAAATTGGACAATAGTAAGTGTTGGTGAATATACAGACCAACATGGGAGCTCTCATCCAATGCTGGTGGGAGTGCAAATCAGTGCAAGTATTTTGTAAGCAATTTGACATTTGGACCCCCTTGAACTTTTGCATGTGAATATTTGCATACCCTTGACTCAGCAATTTTACTACCAGTATATTCCCTAGAGCAATATTTCTCAATGAGGACCAGTTTCATTTTTAATTTTCAATTTGCTGGGGGAACAATACTTTTGTAAATTATAATAAGAATGAATATCTAAAAAAATGAAGTGAAAAAAAAGACATATAACATATAAGCCCTGATATTTTATTATTCAATTCAATGTGCATAATGTTACTTATGTATACCAAGGAGATATATACAAGAGAATTACTGGCAAATTATTTTGTAATAGCGAAAAACAAGAGGTAACCCACATGCCCAGTGACAGGATTAGAGATTGGGGAAATAAATTGTGGTGTCATCATGATGATTTATGGACTATTATACAGTTATGAAAGTATATGAACTATAGCTCTATGCCACACCAACAAAGTCTCAAAAACATAAAAACAAGCCTCAGAAGACTCTAATATGATACCTTTTTGGAAAAAAGCTTTATCAAAGTGCAATTTAATTTACATTTCCATGTTGTGGAATGATTCACCCACTTAAAGTGTACAATTATTAGATTATTTAGAGAATTGTGCAACCATCACACTATCTAATTTCAGTACATTTCCATCACCTCAAAAACAACCCTCATGCTTACTTTTAGCCACTCCCCCCACACCACCCACCTCCTGCCCCCAGACAACCCCTGATCTATGTTGTCTCTATAGATTTGACTTTTCTGAACATTATGTATAAATGAAATCATATAACATGTAATCTTTTATGTCTTGTTTCTTTCATTTAGCATCATGTTTTTGGAGTCCCTCCATGTTCTAGCATGCATCAGAACTTCATTTCTTTAATTGTCAATTCCTTTATGTGGATAAACCACATTTGGTTTACTTATTCACAAGTTGATGGACATCTGGGTTGTTTTCACTTGTCAGCTATTTTGAATAGCACTGCTTTGCATACAAGTCTTTGAACAGATATGTGTTTTCATTTCTCTTAGGTACATTCTTAGGTGACACTGTTTTTATAAAACTCTAAGACAAACAAAACTAAACAGTGTGAAATACACAGTACTGAAACTATTCTTTAAAAGTAAAGAGAGCTTGGGCACCTGGGTTGAGCGTCCAACTTCGGCTCAGGTCACGATCTCATGATCCATGACTTCCAGCCCCGCTATCAGGCTTGCCGCTGTCAGTATGGAGCCTCGTATGGATCTTCTGTCCTCTCTCTCTGCGCCTTCCCTATTTGTGCTCTCTCTCTCAAAAATAAGTAAACATTTTTTTAAATGTTTTAAAATAATTAAAATTGAAGAGAGTAAGAAACACAGCATCCAGGGGGCGCCTGGATGGCTCAGTTGGTTGAGAGTCTGCCTTCGGCTCAGGTCATGATCTCACGATTCATGGGTTTGAGCCCCGTGTTGGGCTCTGTGCTGACAGCTAGCTCAGAGCCTGGAGCCTGTTTCAGATTCTGTGTCTCCCTCTCTCTCTCTGACTCTCCCCTGTGCGCTCTCTCTCTCTCTCTCTCTCTCTCAGAAATAAATAAAACATTAAAAAAGAAAGAAAGAAACACAGCATTCAGGGGAGTCAGTCGGGGGTGATGTGGGGAAAAGGGAAGCACTGGTCTCAGCTAGACAAGAATAATGTTGGAGAGTGAGTTTATGGTATTCATTTTATTATTATTCAAATCGTACATTGCATTAGATACCAAATATACATACATGTTTCTATTATTTGTAATGTACATATATTACATAAAAAGATACTTTTAAAAATGAAAGGCTACCTCCAATACTGTAATTCCAGTCATCCCAGGATAACCAGGTCCCTACTCCAGCCAACAAGATTAAACTTGCTCACGCTCTGGCCCCCTGTCTGCACTTAGCCTGCTCGTGGCTCCCTCTGCCTCAGCCACCGTAGCCCACCCCGCTGACTGTTCCTCAAAGGTGGGGAGCATCTCCAGCAGGTGCAGGTGTCTTCCCTGAAGAGTCCCTCCCCCGGATGTCCACAGGCTGCTGGCTGGCTCCCTTTATGGCCTTCCTTCTCTAATGCCCCTGGTGGAACAGCACATCTGCATGTCCTCCTTTATGTGCTCCAATTGCAGCCTCATTTACTTTGCAACATGATATTGTCATCCCCCCAACACAGACACGTCCAGCTGGGCTCTGTTTCGCTCCCTGCCAAGATCCCAGTAGGCAGAAGTGCCTGGCCATAACAGGGTCTCAGTAAATACTTATAGAGTGAATTACAGCAGCCAAGCTTGTGATTAGATGGAGATTACTGGTGTCATCCAACAGAGCTCCTCTCGTGTCCACCAAAAGCACAAACAGCATGCTCCAGGTAACCCATGCCGCAGACGCATCTCGGGGAAATGTATGATCTCAGTTGGATAGCCTGAGGTGTTGAAAATGGTTATCTGACCCTCCTAAGCACCTTCAAGAACCCTAGGTGTCCAGGATCCCATTTCGAGGAAACTGGGCCAGGCAAGCCTGAAAGTCCTCTGCAAAGCTAGGACTCCACACTTCCATGGCAGAGTGGCCTCTGGGAGAAAGTGGTCCAATGGTCTTCATCATCCTGATCCAAACCTCAGACACATAATTCCAGAAGGCAGCTGAGCATGCGCCTAGAGCCCAGGGAGGTCTGGGCTAGAAGTGTGGATTTGGAAGCTGTCTCCAGTTTCAATCCCACAATCTACCTTCATAATCTTTTTTTTTTAAGTTTTTATTTATTTATTTATTTATTCTTAAGTAAATGTAATCTCTGTACCTAACATGGGACTTAAACTCACGACCCCAAGATCAAGAGTTGCATGCTCTTCTGACCAAGGCATCCAGGCGCCCCCACCATCATAATCTTAACCCCAGGACTGCACTGACCAACATGAAAACCACTAGCCATGTATGACTATTGGACATCTGCAATGTGGCCAGTATGACTGGATTTAATTTTAATTCATTTTAAGATTTTATTTTTTTAAGTAATCTGTCCCTCCAACATGGGGCTCAAACTCATGTCCCCAAGATCAAGAATCATATGCTCTACTGACTGAGACAGGCAGGTGCCCCCTAATTAATTTTAATTTAAAAACAGAAACAGTACAGAATATTTTCTCATTAAACACAACTTTATTGCTTTAATAGGACTACATTTCATGCTGTTGAAAATTTAGCATCCAAATCATGATATGTAAAATGCACACCAGATCTTTTTAAAGTTTATTTATTTTGAGAGAGAGAGCATGCGTGCAAGAGCAGAGGAGGGGCAGAGAGAAAAGGGGACGAGAGAGAGAGATTGAGAGCATCTCAAGCAGGCTCTGCTGTCATCTGGAACTCAAAATCATGAACCGTGGGATCATGACCGGAGCTGAAATCAAGAGTCAGACACTTAACCGACTGAGCCACCCAGGTGTTTCAATGCACACCAGAGTTTTAAGACTTAGCATGCAAAAATAGGTAAAATATCTCATTACTAATTTTTATAATAATCACATGTTGAAGCGGTAATATCTTGGATATATTGGTTTAAATAAAATATTTTATTATTAACTCAATGTTATTAAAGTGTTATTAAAATGAATGTTACCTCTTTCTTATTTTTTTAACGTGGTTGCCAGAAAATATAAAATTATGTATATATGGCTCTCATTATATTTCTGTCGGACAGACATTTACATCATCACAAGAAAGTTCTACTGGACAATGCTGGTTGAGTCTAAGAGTCCAAAATGGGACTCACCTTGGCCTCTAAGCATCCCACACTGGTCTCCTGCTTTCTGCAGGGGCGGGGAGGGGAGGCCTAACCTCTCTCAGATTCTACCTTCCTCCAGAAGAAGCTGTCTTGCCTGTCCCCTCCAGCCTGCTTGAACCCTCTTCCTCCGGACTTTTTAGCATCCACTACTTACACCAGCCTTAAGCACGTGGCCTCAGGGACCGAATTTTCTCTTCACCTCAATTTTTATATTAAAGGTAATCTTGTATTTCTCAATGCCTTACATATAAAGAATACTAGCTGATGACTTTCATAATATTAATAACATATTGTTTTTGTATGATAACTGACAAGGGATTGATCTTCATTTTCTCACAACGCTTAGACCAGCGGATGGGTAAAAGTGTTCACAGCCATTTCACACATGAGGACACTGAGGCTCAAAGAGATTATTTTGCTGAGATCATAAGACATACGAGTGTGGCTGAGATTTTTTCTGGCTCCTAATCCAGTGCTATTTCCCCTATACTTTGCTTTTGGTACCTATGTGAATTAATGCTGAATAAATATAGAAAAGATAGATTAGCATGGATTTAGGAAACGAGCTTTTCATGGGCTGGGCTTTGAGAGATGGGTAGATTTTGGCTAAGGAAACAGGAGTAGAACCACAGCTTCTCTAAAAACCAATCGAAAATTAGATTTCTTGATGAACATAGAATAAAAGTAGTAAATATTTGGGCATATTTTTTAATAACAGCTTTATTGAGATGTAATTCATATACTATAAAACTCCCCCTTTCCAAGTATACAATTCAGTGGTTTTCAGTATATTCACAGTTACACAACCCTCATTGCTAATTCCAGAACATTTTCATCATCCCAAAAGAAACTCTATACCATTGGCATTCACCTCCATTTCCCCTCCCCCCAGTCCCTAGCACCCACTAATCTACTTTTTGTCACTGCAGATTTGCCTAGTCTAGAAATTTCATATAAATGGACTTATAAAATATGTGGCCTTTTGTGATCGACTTCTTTCACTTAGCATAATGTTTTCAAGGTTCATCCATGTTGCAGCATATAATAGCATCAATACTTGTAGCATATAATCAATACCTCATTTCTTTTTATGGTTGAATAATACTCCATTGTATGAATATACCACTTTTTGTTTATCCATCCATCAGTTGATGAACATTTGGGTTGTTTCCAATTTTTGGCTATTATGAATAATAATAGGCTTCTTGGGCATTTGTGTGAAAGTTGTGTGGATGTATTTTCAATTCTCTTGGGTACATACCCCAGAATGGAATTGCAGGGTCACACGGTAACTCTACATTGAACATTTTGAAGAACTACCAATCTGTTTTACAAAGCGGCTACCACCATTTTATAATCCCACCAGCAATGTGTAAGGGTTCCAATTTCCCCACATCCTCAACATTTGTTGTTGTCTATCTTTTTTACTTTAGGCATCTTGGTGGGTGTGAAGTGGTAGCTCAGTTTGAGGTTAGATTTGCATTTTCCTGATGATTAATGAAGTTGAGCATCTTTCCATGTGTTTACTGGTCATTTGGGTGTCTCTTTGGTGAATGTCTATTCAAGTCCTCTGCCCATTTTTTTTCAGTTATTATTTATTTATTCATTTTGAGAGAGACAGAGACAGTGAGAGAGACCTGAGCCAAAACCAAGAATCAGACACTTAGCTGACTGAGCCCCCAGGGACCCCTTTTTCCCCATTTGTTTAAAGTTTATGTATTTTGAGAGAGACGAGAGAGAGAGAGAGAGAGAGGGAGAGAGAAAGGAGAGAGAGAATCCCAAGGAGGCGCTTCACCATCAGCGCAGAGCCCAATGTGGGGCTTGATTTCAGGAACCGAGAGATCAGAATCTGAGCTAAAGTCAGACACTTAACCAACTGAGCCACCCAGGTGCCCCTCTTCTGTCCATTTTTAAATGGAGTTATTTGTCTTTTTGTTGAGTTGTAAGAGTTTTTTATATATTCTGGACATAAGTCCCTTATCATATGCATGCTTTGCAAATAGTTTCTCCCATTTTGTGGGTTGTCTTTTTCATTTTTTTAATGGTGTCCTTTGAAGCACAAAAGTGTTTAATTTTGACAAAGTATAACTTACCTATTTTTTTCTTTTATCACTTGTGCTTTTAGTGTCATATCTGAGAAACTACTGCCTAATCCAAGGTCAGAAAGATTTAGGTCTATGGGTTTGTTTTTTTTTTTAACATTTATTCATTTTTGAGAGGGAGAGACAAGACGTGAGCGGGAGAGGGGCCAAGAAAGAGTGAGACATAGAATCCGAAGCAGGCTCCAGGCTCTGAGCTGTCAGCACAGAGCCTGACACAGGGCTCGAACCCACAAACCATGAGATCATGACCTGACCCAAAGCTGAATACTTAACCAAATGAGCCACGTAGGCGCCCCTGTATCTATGTTTCTTCTAATATGTTTAAGATTTTTGCTCTTACATTGTCTGTGACCCATTTTGGGTTAATTTTTGTAAATGATATGAGATAGGAATCCAACTTCATCCTTTGGCATGTGGAAATCCAGTTTGTCCGGAACCATTTGTTAAAAAGACTTTCTTCCCTTTCCCTCCACCCCATTTAATTGTCTGGGCACCCTTATCAAAATATCAAGTGAATGTAAATGTAAAGGTTTATTTCTAGACTCTCAATTTTATTCCTTTTTGGGGCATATTTTCTAAGGGATTTTTTTTTTCCTCGAACTGTGATAACCGGTGATCTCTCCTACCCTGGAAGAGAGGTGGAGATATTGAGTGATCTCCCACGCAGACTGCGTTTCCTTTGTTGGGTCAGGAACACAGTGACCTTCTCCTATAGGAACCAGAAACCCCTCCATTGTTTTGATGGCAGCCAGGAAGTAGCTGACTGACCAAAGGACCTTATCTCTTCCCTACCTCTCAAGGTCACTCCAAATATCAAATTAGATAATTTCCACAAAAGAATTTAGGAGGTGTAAAGTGCTATCCAAATGTAAGGTATATTCTTATTATACTTTTCCTTCATGAGTAAGACTCTAAAAAGAGAGTGAGAAGTTTTTAACTTTTACTCACTGGGATCAAGGTGGCAGTGTCAATATTATCGCAAATTCCCAATTAGTGAGGTCTGGCTCTTCCTGTTATTCTTGCAGGAGGCTGTGAGCTTCCCCCATGGAAAGTGAATATGAGTGGTGTTTATTCCTTTTACCCATGCCCCCCCTTCCTTGAATGAAGACCTACTTTGTGCCAGGCATTGTGCTAAGCTCTGGGAAAACCCGAGAATAAGGCAGAGACAGTCCCTGTCTCCTGGAGTTGATGGGGTAGTGGGGAAGCAGTCCCACTCAACAAGCTATTGTAATAAATGTGACCACTGGAGAGGTGCAGAGGGATGCCTCCAACCAGCCCTGGTATCAGTTTGCTCCATGTAAACCATAGGGATTAGATTCTCTTCCAACCCATTTACTTTTGCTTCTGTGACTTTTCAGTGAAGCAGAGGCTCTTCCACGCTGAACCCAGATGTTCTACAGACATCACCACAATGCCACACAGGCGTGAGAATGGACCAGACTACTGTGCCATCGTCCTAGACCCGGTTCTCAGCAGCTTTTTGGATGGCAGTCCTGGCTGAAACCTGCCTCCATCCTGCTTTCCTGGGGTTTCTTTCCTGAAGACAGAGAAAGGCTCCCTGGTTACAAGCTAAGCCTCGGACTCTTCTTCCACTCCACCCATCCTCCCCCCGCCCCTCCTCCAGAGACTGAAAGGGTGTCGCTCTCACCACACCACCCTGTACCCACCCTGCCCAAGCCACCAGTGGAGACTCTTCCCTCCCAGAAAGCCGCAGCTCACTTGTGTGCCCCGGGGCTCGCTGTCCTTATAGCATGGAAAACCAAGCTATGAGGACCACCCGAGAGCACCTTCCTCTTGTCTGCTCCTTCTCCCCACCTCTACCTCCAGCCTCCTCCACTCCATGTCTTCCTGGCACCATGTCATCTGACAAGTCAGCACCATTTCGGGGTTACTCAGGTCACAGCCTTCTGCACATGCTCCATGTGACAAGGCGAGCCCTGTGTCCTTCAGAGCCTCAGGCTCCATCCACTTCCATCCTCCCCTCCCACACCTTTCTCCACTACTAGCATAAAGGGTCTACTAGCATATAGGGTCCTCCCACCTCTGGGGACAGATGTCCCCAGGAGGGGTTAGGCAAGGACCCTCAGCTTCCACAACCTGGGGAGATGCCATTCTTTCCCCTCCCCATGCTTGTCACTTGTAGGGACACGTGGATGAGACAGGCAAAGAATGAGGAGGAGTGTGCAGGCCTGAGGTGACTTGGAGCCAGCCACTCAACCTGTCTGAGTCTTCATTCATCTGTCAGTGAGGGGGTAATTCTCATCTGGAGGCTCATCTCATAGTTCTCAGAGGCTGCAGGTCTGTGTGGTTGTTGCTGTGTAAGCGACTGACAGCTTATGTCCCCAGTGGGAAGAGAGCATGTGTGCCAGCGCTCCTATGCCTCTATGCAAACCCGCCACAACAACCCCCTCCATTCTCCCTCCCTTTCCCGGTAGTCCCCCACCAGTGCCGAGGTGAGCCGGGGGCTCGCGGCATCTCGCAGCACCTCCCCGGGGCGCCTCCAGCCTCCAGCGCCGAAACTTTCCCCGCGGGTGCAGGCCACACCCCCTCCCCCCAAGGCCTGGCGGAGAAGCTGGACCGGGTGACTGATCATTAACCCCATCTCTGCTGCACCAGCGGCGCAGCGGACAGCTCCCCCACCTTGTCACTCGGGAACCCAGAGAGGCCTGGGGCGGTGAGGCCGGAAGACTGAGTCTCGGAGACCGCCGGGCTCCCGGGGGCCTGCGCAGAGGCTGGGTGATGGCAAGGAGAGGGCACCGTGTGCTGACTTGGGTGTTCCAGCAAACTGCTGGCTCCCGCAGCCTCGGAGGTGTGTGTGTGTGGAGGGGTCCCCCCTTTCCAGCTTCCTCTGTGAGAGCCTGACCTGAGCCCCCTCTGCCGCCGCCACCACCACCCCCACCCCCGCCCGGCTGCAGTTCGCAGGGGGGGCTGCCTTGGCCCCTCCCCGGGCAGTCGCCCCTGCCCGGGCGGGCCAGGAAGCGTCGGTCCCCGCCCCGCTCGGTTAGGCCCGTGTCGGGGAGACTTTGGAGCCGAGGAGGAAGCGCGGCGGGGCGGGGAGGTGGGGGTGTGTCGGAAGGCGGCGGCGGGGTTTTATAATCCGCAGGGCGGTCGCGGCGCGGGAGAAGGGGCAGCGCCGCGCCGCGCCGTGCACCGCGCACCGCGCCATGGGTGCCGCATCGGGCTGTCCCCTGCCGCTGCTGCTCCTGCTGCTGCTGCTGCTGCCGCTGCCGCCCGCCGCCCTGGCAATGGACCCCGAGCTGCATCCCGGAAACTTTTCCGCCGACGAGGCCGGGGCGCAGCTCTTCGTGAAGAGCTTCAACTCGAGCGCCGAGCTGGTGATGTACCAGAGCACGGTCGCTAGCTGGGAGTACGACACCAACATCACCGAGGAGAACGCGCAGCGCCAGGTGGGCGCTCGGGCCCGGGGCGGGGGCGGGGCCCGGACGCCCAATCACAGGCCTGCGGCCGGGCGCTGGGGGGCGAGAGGTCACAGCGGGGCGCGCGACCCCGACCCCCGAGCCGCGGGGACCTGGTGAAGACCCGCCGGCGCCCCCAGCCCCGCTCCGCCCCATCAGACGCGCGGCGGGTGCCCAGTACAAGCACCAAATGGATAAAGCTGGCTCCTCTGACCTCGTGGCAGCGCCCCGAGATGACCTCGGTTGGGTCAGCGTCAGTCCTCGCTGAAGGTGCCCACTTTGCTCTGGGCCCTCATCCTCTGTAGCCAAAACCTTACCCCTGTCCCAATGTTCCTGTCACTGCTCATCGCTGTCTTTACCCTCTCCTCCACCTGCCTCTTTTCTGGCCCCAGTTTCTGCTTCACTGCCCACCTTAGGCAGATTCCCCCAGTTCCTGACCCCGAAGGCCCAAAAGGAGAGAGCCGTGCTCCCGCAAGCCCCAGTCTCCAGCCGCCCGTGGTCTTCCTCCCCTTCCCCAGTGCCATGGCCTCCCCTGTATCCCCTCTGGTGCCCACAGGAGGAAGCAGCCCTGCTCAACCAGGAGTTTGCTGAGATCTGGGGCCAGAAGGCTAAGGACCTGTATGACCCAATCTGGCAGAACTTCAGTGACCCCGTCCTGCGAAGGGTCATCAGTGGTGTGCGCACCCTGGGCCCTGCCAACTTGCCTGTGGCAAAGCGGCAGCAGGTGGGCCTGGTGGACCTGAGGGGTGGAGGCAGAAATGGCCAGTGTGCCTTCCAGTGCTGCACTGTGGTGGTGGTGGTGGGAAGGGGCCTGGCAGGGAGGGACCCTGGGATCTGTGTGCACCCTGACAGTAGGGGAAGCCTCTGTAAGCACAGAATGGCTTCCTGGAACATTGATTTTTCTTGGAGATGGGGTATAGAAAGCAAAATTCAAGTAAACAGATGAAAAGGGGTTTTTCAAAATTTCTCCATAGTCTGGTTGGGTTAATGGGCTTCCTTAGAAAGACTGAGGAGGACTGAGAAGGCATCAAAGCCAGAGAGTGAGAGGCATTTGCCCTCACTGCAAGGCAGTAGCCAAGCTTGGACTTGAACCCCATCCCGAATTCTAAGGGCACTTTTTCCCCCTCCACAGGCTGCTTCCACTGGAAGGGGAATTGGTTTATTAGTGACCAGAAGTATTCTGAGTGCCACTGAGTGGCCTTGTCCAAGTCACATCCCCTCTCCAGGGCTCCTTTTCATCCTAGCAAAAAGAGGAGGGGGCGGCCAGATTATCTCTGGGGTCTGTTCACTGCTAAAATTTTCTCAACTCTCACTCCCCAGTACAACTCTCTGCTAAGCAACATGAACAGGATCTATTCCACGGCCAGGGTCTGCTACTATCCCAACAAGACTGCCATCTGCTGGTCCCTGGACCCAGGTATGGCTCTGTCCCTACTGTCTCTCTGTGCTGGGGCTTCCCGGCCCTTCCCCCACAGCCCCTGCTGCTCCCAGTAAGAGGGTGTGTTTAACAGGAGGGCCCATGGAGGGAGTGGGTAAATCCAAACCCAAAGGCACTGACCTCCATTTGGGGCTGGACTGTCAGATGCCCTCACACTCTTGCTTCTCTGGGCAAACTGATTTCTGAAACCTCCAGCCTCAGCTCCCACCCCCACCCCTTCCCAGACCCACCCCCGTGTGATTTGGCCACTCCCATACCCCCTAGCCTTCCTCTTGGCTGCCTGGTTTTCCCTTTCATGGATCCTCTCAGTCTCCCAAGAGCCCTCCACAGGCCTTAGACCCCTTGTGACTTCTGCTTATACCCTCCTCTTATCCCCCGACACCGCTACCGCCATCCACTCGGCAGCCTGAGGTTAGCCACTCCAACCAATAAGCCATGAAGGGTCTGTCTGGACTTGGGCCTCTGGATGTGTCCACCTTGTGTCCACCTCACTTCCCTAGGGACAAGGGCTCTTCTCGGGTGCTCTCTTTGTATAGCTCCCAGCCCCATCCCACCCAGCCCGTAGGCAGCCCTTGGCTTTGGGGGCATCACAATGTTGAGGAAGCAGGTAGAGATGGTGAAGACCAGCATGGGAGCTTTACTGAAGACTGTCGCTGCCTTCAAAGAAAGCGCCTGACCCCACTCACCTGTATCTCAGAGCTCACCCACATCATGGCTATATCAAGAAGCTACTCGGTGCTGCTCTATGCCTGGGAGGGCTGGCACAATGCTGTGGGCATCCCGCTGAAACCCCTGTACCAGAACTTCACTGCCCTCAGCAATGAGGCCTACAAGCAGGATGGTGAGTTTACCCACCCCATCCGTTGTGTGAGCGCTGCCCTTCCCAGACTGCAGCGTGCTCTCCCATCACCCACTGTCCCCACTGAGCCCAACCCCAGACAGAGCAGCTGTTGCGGTGACTCAGTACACTGACCCAAGGTCGTACAGAACCAGCTTGAGCCCCTTCTGCCTTCTTCTGGGCTGCTGACTGGCCCTCACACTAGCCCTCTTACCTGCTTTTCCTGTCATGCCTCGGAGCCTCGGCACTCATCTTTGCCTCTCCAGGATCTATTAAGCTAGAGTGGGAATGACCCCTAGTTGGAACTTCACAGAGCAGAGGTCCCCAGGCCATCTTTTCTAAGTAGCTGGCAGATACAAGGGCCACGCCAGGGGAGCGGCGGAGCCGTAGCTGGGCGGTGGAGGTGCCAGAGCCTTGGGCCTGAGCTGCACCCCAACGCCACCACTACCCCCTGCCACCAGGCTTCTCAGACACGGGGGCCTACTGGCGCTCCTGGTATGACTCGCCCACCTTCGTGGAGGATCTGGAACATCTCTACCATCAAGTAGAGCCCCTCTACCTGAACCTCCATGCCTATGTCCGCCGTGCACTGCACCGCCGATATGGGGACAAATACATCAACCTCAGGGGACCCATCCCTGCACACCTGCTGGGTAAGGACATTGCCTTGCCTCTATGCACGCCCCATGGATTGTCCTCCTCATGTGTCACATTTTAGAGCGCCATCCTGTCCATCCCCACACACGAGCCCACGTAGCTCACTCCATGACCCCACGTAGCAAGTGTCCCTTCTCATCACCATTACTGTTCCTACTTTTCCGACAGGGACTCTGAAGCTTGAGGTGTAGAAGTGACTTGGCAGAGGGCAGAGAACTA